TGGTGGACGGCAAAAAAATCGAAAACCGCTTAGAAAATTGAGAAGTAGTCACACAACCCGAAAACTGTTGTCGCGTAAGGTGATACCGGAAGAAATTTTGGTCAATGGCTGATAGAACGCTGCGATCAGTTTTTCCTCGGCCTCCAAACGTTGCGTTTCTTCTTTTGCTGGGCCTCAAAATTTTCTGTCATAGATTTTTTCAAACCGGAACGAGGCCATCGGTATCAAATCTACTGTTCTTAGTTCGAAGATCAGGTTGGGCAAGCAAATTTTGGTTCTGCGCAAACAAGACCTGATTTTAAGGAGCACTTTCTTGTAGGCTAAAACACCTGCCGGGCAACATTTTTTCCTTCAAATTTAGTTATGTTTGTTCACCCGAACCCTACATTGTTAAAGCCTTCAAGGCTAAATTTGTTAACACTGTTAAGGCTCTCAGGCGTTAACAACGTATACTTTTATACGGTATAGTATACGTTGTATGTCCTTAAGGCTTAACATTGTAACTGTCACTTGCACTGCTCTTGCGCATGTGCATCATTTTCTATCAAACATCTGGCAATATCGGATTGAGTATACGCTACAGGGCTGCTCCAGAGCTAAACATCCAGTTACAATTTTCCGCATCTGCCTTATTTCGTCGAACGTTTTTCTGCAATTTCGTATTATTGCACCCAATTTTTTTATTACAATTGAGGGCATTATCCTAATCAGTTCTATGTTTGAGTTTTTAAATTAAAAATAAACTAAATTTTAATTTGGCTTTAAATATAATGAAAATGCATTGGCTTGCTTCGTGATTGCCTTTCACAGAGATTGACATCCTAACTGTTTGATTTCATTGAACTTGGTGTATGTGTTTATGTACATCTGTTGCAGCTGTGAATATATAAAAGTAGATATGGTTAAGGGATAATGAGAATTATGCCATTATCTGTACTAACAATAATGCCACGTATTGCTTGTGTGAACCGATTAGTCAGATAAAAATATCAAAAATAGCTAAGTACTGTTGGAAATGAAAACACAATAAAAGATGAGTTGGGAGAGTATTGTTTGAGTGCCAAAAATATCATCTGTGCAACGAATTAATACAAATAGTTTAATCAAAATCCTCCAAGTAAACCTTCTACCCCAAAACTGCCCACTGGTTAGTTTTATTTACTTATTTAATGTGGAATTTATTTAGATTTGTCTGATATCTCTTATCGCCTGAAGTAAAAAGCCCAAAAAAAAAAAAAAAACAATTGCCTCGCCTCCCCCCCCCCAGTTTAAATTGCTCTAAGAACGTCCGGGGACATCGGACTGCGTTCGCGTCTTTCCGCCAATTATCGGTAAACACAACAATTTCGGAAGAAAAGCCACGCTGTATTCCGATTGATCCTGGGTAAAGCCCGCCATTTGTTTATGTTGTATGCCTGTCATATTGGCCGATATTTATGGTAGTGTTAGAGGTCACTGGATATCTCAATCAAAAATAAGTGGCAAACTCGTTTTATGTGTTTGTGTGTGTTATTAGTTAATAATGATCGCTATTAATGAGGGCATCATGTCACACCCAGTCACATTATTCTGACACAAAGATGACTAGTAAAAAGACCAAAAAAATGGACGATCAGCATTAAGAAGGTAGTCTTGTTAATGCTGATCGTCCATTTTTTATGTCTTTTTATGACTGGGCCGAGATTAGAACCCGCAACCTCCGGCATTCGAGACGGACGCTCTAACCACTGGGCCACTGTAGTGGTCCGGCCGCGTTTGCAATGAATCGGGTAGATATCACGGGAGTTTGAAAAGCAAGTCATGACGACCTATTTGTTTTAAAAAGTGATTGGAGTACCCATCAAAATGGTGGAGTCCATTAACGTTCTTAACCACAAATCCAACAATGTAGAAAAAAGGTGCCAAATGCATAAGCTTAAATAGAATTTGTATCAATTATGCTTTTATCTCATGAAAGAAATCTTATCAGGATATTATTACCATGAGCTTCATTTATAGATATGCCTATATTGAAATTTTCATCAAAATTGGATCAGAAATGTTCACTCCAGAGTTGCATGCGCACCTCATTATAAAGCATGGTTTAGTTCATGATAATGCTCATATGATAGCTGAGTGATAGAAACCCAAATTACAAGTTTGATGAAGATTCGATCAAAAATTTCGCCTCTAGAAACATAGTAGTAGGAGAAAGTAAGAATCCGAGCTCAACAACCCCCTGCAGACCTCCAAACAAATACAAAATACCTAGGTAACGTAATAGAAAACCTATTGCAATCAATAATTGCGTTAAGAATCCGAGCTCAACAAATACAAAATACCTAGGTAACGTAATAGATCACCTGTTGCAATCAATAATTGCGTTAAGAATCCGAGCTCAACAACCCCTCCAGACCTCCAAACAAATACAATAGAACACCTGTTGCAAAATACCTAGGTAACAGGTAAAATTTAATTACGTGATCTTCCAGAATAAGCAAAATGATGTGTCAGACTCAATTTTTCAAATCATTACGATTTAGCAGAGCGTGGCGATTGTGGACTAAATTACGCATTAGAATTCCAGTAAGGTAAGTGGTATTATATAAAATTTTATGTTATATCATACTTCTTTTGATAATCTTTCTCATATTTGCTGATCCTCATGGGAAGAATATCTGTTAACATGTTGTCAATAATACGAAATTCACGTATTAAATCGTCCATACTATATTTTACTCCTCGTAGGTAAGATCTTATTTGATCAAGTAGTTTTTTGTAAGTTATAATTGATGTTAAGCAGCCGTGCTTTTTTATCGAAATTTTAGGTTCAACTTTTTTACAAGCTGCTGTAAGAGAAACACCAACACCGGATATGATTAACAAAAACGGGTTTAATGATATACCACTTGAAATTATGCCAGAACTAGTCATTAACAAGGGTAGATATGATATTACTCGAAGTATTTTGTTATAATATTTGTAACATTTTTTAACGCACCAAAGTTTTTTATGATAATATTTGTAGTATTGTATTAGTGCGTCAACATCCTGTCCTGGAATATCTTTTGAAATATGATTGAAATCAACTATACTTTTTTTCATTATAATATTTGTTCACATAATCTCAGGCTTGATTAAGTAACTAGTTGAGGTGTTTCAGCCACAAATTCCAGACAATACCAATATGACGCAGCAGTTAATTTTTTGTCATCTGCTATTAGCATAAAAGTTTCTTCAACATCTTTGTTTAACACAATAGACACAGTTCCAGAGAAATTATCAGTCGAGTGACGCCATGGAAATAATGTAAATATATTAAACTTTGCACTGCTCAACACGGACAATCTATACACACCAGTGACCTCTGCAGTATGTTTGAGAGTGTTATTTTGCGGCGACCAAGTAGACATTCCAGAAGCAACAGTATAGACAATATTTTTAATCTGCTTGTGAGGAATTTTAATCATACTTGTTTTCTCAACAATACTAGGAATTCCACTAATAATATCGTTGAGTTTTGTGTTAATATTATCGAGTGTAATATCAACAGATGGCGGACTTCCAAAAAATTCGTTATTGGTTTTGTTTATGTTTCTGCGAAAATTTAAAAACGTGGTGATGTGATTAGTAAAATCAGTTTTGAACTTGGTAATTTCATTGTTGATGTCATCAACATATTTCTTTGTTACAGCATCAAAATCAGATTCTGGTGTTCTAAGATTATTGATGCCATTATTGTTCATGTTGAGAAATGCACGCATTATACCGCCACGCACCGACACGTACTTTGATTCCTGATCATCAACATATTTCTTAGTAGCAGCGTCATTATCCTCAGTTGGGTTTCCAAGGTATGTGATCTTATTCTGGTTCATAGCAATGTTTCCCGTAAATAAATCACCTGCTTTTCTAACATAATCGTTAACTGACCTACCCGAATCTTCTATCTTACCTTGATTATTAAAAGTAACAATATTATTAGCAACTGCAGTAGGATTTCGTACTAGTACATCTGATAGTTGTACATTACTCGTCTTTAATCGTCCTTGTTTGTCCTGGAAAACTACAACTTCATTTGGATCTACACTTGCAACGTTTAACAAATTGTTGATTTCATTTTTGAGCTTATCAAGAGTTGCATACTTGGATAAGTCACCCTGGTAACCTTCTGTTAATAAATCTACTGCTAATGTTCCAAATTTTGTATAGTAGCTCATTATACATACCGTTCTACACAAAATTGTTGGATTAATATAACATAAAATTATACGATGGCGAAGATAATAAACTTTGACACCGAGCGATTGGTGAAGCATAAACATAACAATGAACTTCCAGACTGTCATTATCTTATTGTTGGGCGAACTGGATCTGGTAAAACAAATTTGTTATTAAATCTTTTACTCAATAATAACTTTAACTATGATAAGGTGTATATTTACACCATCAACCCCCAACAAGACAAATACAAATTATTAAACGAGTATAATGATAAACTTCGTGATGAACTTGGCATTGGTGATGATATATTTTTGATAAAACAACCAGAAGAACTCGTTCCAGTGAATGAACTCGATTCGTCAGAGCATAAGATAATCGTCTTTGATGATATTCCGCTAAACAATGAGGAAATGAACAAGATTAGATCATATTTTTCACTATCACGTAATAAAAGATGTAATTCTGTTTATCTTGCCCAAGGTTTTTATAATGTTGATAGGTTTATTAGGCGAAATACGGGTTGTTTCGTATTATTTCCCGGACTAGATAATGTGGATGTGAGAAATATTGCAAACGAACAATGTGGTGATGTTACAAAAGATAAATTTATCGAATTATATCATCGAGCAACTAAAGATAGATATAGTTTCTTTTTATTTGACAAGCTAGCGCGTGATCCAACCAAGATGTTTCGTTGTTGCCTTGAGACGTTTCTATGATATAATTTTGTAAAGCGTATAAAAATAATGGACAAACATCAACAGAAAATCGAATTACTAAAAAAGTTTCTCGAAACTCGAGCGGCTTTTAAGAAAAAGGTGGAAGAAGCTCGACGTGGACAAGTTCAAGCAGAAGAAGAAAGAACCAAATTTTTCAAACCTGTTACTGAGGCAATGCTTGGCAAGCAGCCAGAAATACCAACATTGTCTCCGGAAGAACTAGCAAAAATGAAAGAAAAGGGTTTGTTTGGTTTACTAGGAGAAAGATCGAAAGAAGAAAATAAAAAAATTGCAGAAGAACTTGTAAGAGACATTGTTGATCCTATTGCACGACAGGTTGAATTTGATAGATTAATAAACGACCCTCTTGCACTTCAGCAAGCTATAACAACAAAGGCTGTTAATCCCGACGAGTTAAGGAGGTTAATAGAAAAAGTGTCAGAACAAACTGAGGAATTAGCTGAGAAACAAAAAACGTTACAAGAAAGTATGATAAAAATAATGCCTCTTGAGGATGCTATAATATTTTATAGAAAGAAAGCTAGGGTAAAAATAGACGATTCCGAGTATAACGAGTTTATGGAAAAATATGATATCACTGATATTAATAGTATTCGAGATTGGCCAAAAGAAAACTATGATAATTTGATAGAAAAATTAAGAGAAATTATAGAAAATGGTTTACGTGCTGATGAAGAAATTAAAGTTAAAAAAGATAGAAATAATTTTCTAGTATTAGTTGATCAGATAAGATATGGAATTATTGCTGAAATTTTTCTTAAAACATCAATACAATATCGAAATAAACCAGGAGGTTATAAGAACAGTTGGAAATTTAAAAGATTGTTTGATAAATACGAAGATGTTCGAGATAAAAGATTACCGGAAAAAAAAGGAGGTGGAGTTAAAGTTTTTACATCAAACGCAGACATAGTCGATCGGCTAATGCTGTTGATATCCTCTAAAGAAGCTGGTAATGAAAGTGTAGAGATTGATAACGAAATTATTGATATACTTGATCATCTAAGATCGAGTGGATTACTAACATCATCCGAGTACGAAATTTTACACCGCGATCTTATCTAAAATATTAGTATAATGCAAACAACATTATTGCTTGATTCGTCACAAATAACAGGAAACAGCGCGAATTTTACAGTAAATTACAACCCACCAATAGAACTAGATCCTGCAAAACAGTATGAGATTGGATTAATTTCTTGTACTTGTTGGAACGCCATGCCGAATATTAAAACTGGGATTAATGATGAAATTTTAATCGTTAATGTTAAACAATCTCCAACATCACAAAAAGAGTTTATTGATATACAATACAAACTACAGATTCCACAAGGAGCTTATAACATTACTGATCTAAACAGAACAATAAAAGAGCTTCTAACAAAAGCTGGTGGGAATGCTGATAATTTCGAATTAGCGGCGAATTATAACACCTTACGAGCTAGGATAACAGTGAAAAGAAATATGAAAGTCATCTTTGAAGAAAGAAGTTTTGGAAAGATGTTAGGTTTTACTAGAGTTTTATACTATACCACCGGTGAAGATAAGTCTTTGACATTTGATGGAGAACTACCAGTAGATATCACAGAAGTAAATACAATACTCATCAATTGCTCTATCGCATCTGGATCTTATACGTCAAAAGGCAACCGCGGGCAAACGATCTACAGTTTCTCACCAGAAGTCCCACCGGGTTCTCTCATGCAAATCACTCCGCGACAGATTATCTACTATCCAATAACACCGGAGAATCAAATTACAAGCATTACAATGCAACTCACAGACCAATCTGGACGA